AGGTCAGGAGTATTGTGCTCCAAAATTATTATTATTATTATTATTATTATTACTATTTAACCACATTATCCACATTATTTAAAATATATATGAATCAATACTCCAATTCTAATTCACCAAGCTTACATAACATTCTTCTTGATTGTATATTATCAAATAATCCCCCCTTGCAGTTTTATTAATCTGTTTGTAATTGTGCACCTTTTCCTGCAGAAGCAATTGGGTCTTTGGACTGTAATAAAGTTTTGCAGACTACACTGCCGTATAATCCTGATTATATGAGTTTACTCTGCCACATAAACCAAAGCAGACAATCTCTATTTTATATGGCAGCGAAGATGGAGCCTAAGGCTACTCACTTTTTCTCAGCCTGCCCTACCTTTACAGTATCTGTTGCCAAAGCAAAATGGGGGGAAAGATATACCAGCTCATTCAAGACTGGGGCATTATGTCATCTACTGAGCTTTCCTCCAAGTAAGCATCTTTCTCTCTCACACACACACAGCTTTGCAGCAGAGGAGTCGAAACTCTTGGCATCTTGACCAGGGGGGAAAGGAAAACAGGGCATCCATTAGGATGCTCACAAGTTCCTATCTCAGTGCAGACTGTTCCTGTCCTGCAGAAAGAGGAATCAGCACCCCTTAAAATTCCTTCCAGGAGCCCTATTTTATCGAAACCCCTCTTCTGGCAGCATCTTCTCCCTTCCTGTCAGTCAAAGAGCAGCTGCAGACGCAGAGGAGGATGACTTCAGGCTTGCTAAGGACCGCAGTGAGCTGGGCGACCCGCTGCGTGGCTGCAAAGATACACAGGATGGGAGAAGGGAGGGGGCTGCCCAAGGAGAGAGGGGGCTGCTTGGCATTCAGGCCCATGCCAAAAAAACTTGCCCTATTGCATTGACTCTTTTAAAAGGAGTCACTTTTCCTAGAGCCCTTGAGCTTGTAGAGACCATCCAGTCCAACCCCACTGCCACCAAAGCACTCCCGACAGATGGCCATCCAGAAATCAAGACCATCAAGAGAATTGGACTCTCTTTCCAAGTGAGATTTTAAAAATATGATTGTCACCTCTCAGGCCCTTTCCACATCTGCAGTGCCCTATAACCCAGGATCTGATCCCAAATTAGATGAGTCCTCACTGCCAAATATCCTAGGATAAACAGATAATCAGATCCTGGGATATAGGAGCAGTGTGGAAGGGGCCTGAGAGACACTTTTGCCCCTTTTAAAGAGATGCTTTGACACAGCTGCTTTTGAAACGCATCATCATCAAATTATGGAGAGAGAGTTAAACATGAGCCAACAATGTGATGCAGCAGCTAAAAAAGCCAATGGGATTTTGGCCTGTATCAATAGTATAGTGCCTAGATCTGGGGAAGCCATGCTACCCCTCTATTCTGCCTTGGTCAGACCACATCTGGAATACTGTGTCCAATTCTGTGCACCACAATTGAAGGGAGATGTTGACAAGCTGGAATGTGTCCAAAAGAGGGTGACTAAAAGGATCAAGGGTCTGGAGAACAAGCCCTATGAGGAGGGGCTTAAAGAGCTGGATATGTTTAGCTTGCAGGGGAGAAGGTTGAGAGGAGACATGATGAGGGCCATGGATCAAGATGTGAGGGGAAGTCATAGGGAGGAGGGAGCAAGCTTGTTTTCTGCTGCCCTGGAGATTAGGATGTGGAGCAATGGCTTCAAACTACAGGAAAGGAGATTCCACCTGAACATGAGAAAGAACTTCCTAACTGTGAGAGCTGTTCAGCAGGGGAACTCTCTGCCCCAGAGTGTGGTGAAGGCCCCTTCTCTAGATCTTTTAAACACAGTCTGGATGGCCATCTGTTGGGGGTGTTTTAAATGCAATTTTTCTGCTTCTTGGCAGGGAGTTGGACTGGATGGTCTCTTGATTCTATGACTCCATAGGCCATCCAGTTAACCCCATCCTGCGCTATAGGAACACCCTGTCAAAACACTCCTGACAGATGGCGATCCAACAATGAATGTAGAATGTCCACCATTCTGGAGTGTGAAAGGACCTCTTTTCCAACTATTAGTTTTGGGAAGGAACGTTTCCTCTGAAGCGTAAGAGTTGCCAGATAATGTGATAAGACTGCTTCATAAGGTGGTTGACTCTCTCTTTTTCAACTGAGACACTTCACTTCTACAAGAGTTGGGATGGTCACTTCCCAGGGCCTTTCCACCCAGCCATATAACCCAGGATATCAAGGGAGAATAACCCACAATATCTGCCTTGAACTGGGTTATCTGAGTCCATACTGCCATATAGTCCAGTTCAAAGTAGATAATGTGGGGTTTTATTCAGCTGTGTAGAAGGGGCCTCAGAGATACTTTGCAGAGATGCTTCTCACCACAAGGTGTATATCCAGTCTGCCAGGCAGGAAGATACAACTACGGTATAGTACTTCTGAAAGAAAGCAACCCAGTCTCTCTTAATAAACCTCCACAGAAGGAGACTCTGCCACACTTCTAGGTAGCAGTCAAGGGAGGTGGGAAGGGGGATCCTTTTAGATCAGCATTTCTCAACCTAGAGGTTGGGACCCCTGGGAGGGGGTCATGAGGGGGTGTCAGAAGGGTCCCCAAAGACCATCAGAAAACAAAATATTTTCTGTTGGTCATAGGGTTTCTGTATGGGAGATTTGGCCTAATTCTATCATTGGTGAGGTTCATAAGGCTGTTTGATTGTAGATGAACTATAAATCCCAACAACTACAACTCCCAAATGTCAGGGTCTATTTCCCCCAAACTCTGTGTTCATATTTGGACATATGGAGTATTTGTGCCATGTTTGGTCCAGATCCATCACTGTTTGCGTCTATAGCACTCTCTGGATGTAGGTGAACTACAGCACCCAAACTCAAAGTCAATGCCCATCAAACCCTTCCAGTATTTTCTCTTGGTTTTGGGAGTTCTGTGTGGCAAGTTTAGTTGAATTCCATCATTGATGGGGTTCAGAATGCTCTTTGACTATAGGTGAACTATAAATAACAACTACAACTCCTAAATGCCAAGGTCTGTTTTCCCCAAACCCCACCAGTGTTCACATTTGGGCATATTGAGCATTCGTGCCAAGTTTGGTCCAGATCCATCATGGTTTGCAACCACAGCACTCTCTCGATGTAGGGGAACTACAGCTCCCAAACTCAAAGTCAATGCCCATCAAACCCTTCCAGTATTTTCTGTTGGTCTTGGGGAGTTCTGTGTGCCAAGTTTGGTCCAATTCCATCGTCAGTGGAGCTCAGATTGCTCTTTGATTGCAGGTGAACTATAAATCCTAGCAACTACAACTCCCAAATGACAATATCAATCCCACCAGTATTCAGATTTGGGCGTATGGAGAATATTTGTGCCAAATTTGGTCCAGTGAACAAAAATACATCCTGCATGTCAAGATATTTACATGACGATTCATAACAGTAGCAAAATTACAGAAGTAGCAAGGAAAACACTTGTCTCCAGTGCTATTCTAATAAGTTTATTATTATTTATCTGCAAGTTTATTAATAATAATAATAATATAATGTAATATAATATAATATATTGTATATACATATAATATTTATATTATAATGCAATGCAATATATACTAATAATAATAACATGATATTATAATTATATATTTATATTACCTGTAATATTACTAATAATACAATATAATAGTATAGTACAATATAGTAATATTTAATACTGATATTGTACTGTGCTAATAATGTAATATATTGTATGTATTGTATATTTAATACTTAATACTTATACTTTATTGTATATTTAATATATAATACTGATATTGTACTATGCTATTGTATTATTATTAATATTAATATAATGTAATATAATATATTGTATATACATATAATATTTATAATACTATAATGTAATGGTATAGTACAATATAGTAATATTTAATACTGATATTGTACTGTGCTAATAATGTAATATATTGTATGTATTGTATATTTAATACTTAATACTTATACTTTACAGTATATTTAATATATAATTCTGATATTGTACTGTGCTAATAATATAATATATTGTATGTATTTATTTAATATATAATACTGATATTGTACTATGCTAATAATATAATATATTGTATGTATTGTATATTTAATACTTAATACTTATACTTTATAGTATATTTAATATATAATATGATATTGTACTATGCTAATAATATAATATATTGTATGTATTGTATATTTAATACTTAATACTTATATAATATAGTAATATATAATACTGATATTGTACTATGCTAATAATATAATATATTGTATGTATGTATATTTAATACTTAATACTTATACTTTATAGTATATTTAATATATAATACTGATATTGTACTATGCTAATAATATAATATATTGTATGTATTGTATATTTAATACTTAATACTTATACTTTATAGTATATTTAATATATAATACTGATATTGTACTGTGCTAATAATATAATATATTGTATGTATTGTATATTTAATACTTAATACTTATACTTTATAGTATATTTAATATATAATACTGATATTGTACTGTGCTAATAATATAATATATTGTATGTATTGTATATTTAATACTTAATACTTATACTTTATAGTATATTTAATATATAATACTGATATTGTACTGTGCTAATAATATAATATATTGTATGTATTGTATATTTAATACTCAATACTTATACTTTATAGTATATTTAATATATAATACTGATATTGTACTATGCTAATAATATAATATATTGTGTGTGTATATACCTTGTAAGCCTTCGGGGTGAGAAGGGCGGCATATAAATGTCGTAAACAAACAAATAAACAAACAAACACTAAGCTTGTGAGTCCCCTGGTGAGCCTTAGGGCTTCTCCTCGCGTGGGTTGGACTAGATGAGCTCGCGGGACCCCGCCGCCCTCTCTCCCTCCATCCTTGGCTCCGCTTCCCCTGGGAATGAATGAAGAGTGGGGGGCCAATAGGGGAGAAGGGGGTGTCTTACCGTCGTGGGTGGTGGCAGGGGTGGCCATGGCGGGGTTAGGGAGGTGGCACTCGGCGGCGGCTCCTCTGCAAGTCCGATCAGAAGCGAATGCGGCAGAAGCCGGCTGGGAGGGAGAAGAAACCAGAGAGGCGCGGGGCTGGCTTTCCCCCCTTCTCCTTCTCCTTCTCCTTCTCCCTCCAGCCTCCCTCTCTCTCTCTCTCTCTCCCCCTCCCACTCCACGTGGGGAAGGAGCGACCAGTGGAAACAGATCCCGGCGGGAGGGGCGGCCAAAGAGAGAGGGAGGCAGCCGCAGACCTTTGACCTGCTCCCTCCAGTTTAGACCCCTTTGGGAAAGAAAGCCCATTGAGCCACTCCGGACACATCTGGAGGAAGGCGCCCTAGGAGTCCTAAGAAGAGCCCACCTAAGGAAAGTTGCAGGTCTGAGGCAGAGCAGCGGGGGGGGGGGGGGGGGGTATCCTCATCCTCCTCAGGATTCATCCAGCCCAGCTCTTTCAGCACACAAGCAGGGAGGCACATCTCAACACCACAAATCCCACAACTCTCATGGGATGATGCAGTGTGTGTGTCTTGCAAACAGTAAGAAACCTCTAGTCCACGTATTTATTTATTTATTTATTTATTTACTTCATTTGTATACCGCCATTCTCAGCCCTAAGGCGACTCATAGCAGTTTACAACAATCATAGAATCAAAGAGTTGGAAGAGACCTCATGGGCCATCCAGTCCAACCCCCTGCCAACAAGCAGGAATATTGCATTCAAATCACCCCTGACAGATGGCCATCCAGCCTCTGCTTAAAAGCTTCCAAGGAAGGAGCCTCCACCACACTCTGGGGCAGAGAGTTCCACTGCTGAATGACTCTCACAGTCAGGAAGTTCTTCCTAATGTTCAGATGGAATCTCCTCTCTTGTAGTTTGAAGCCATTGTTCCGCGTCCTAGTCTGAAGGAAGCAGAAAACAAGCTTGCTCCCTCCTCCCTGTGGCTTCCTCTCACATATTTATACATGGCTATCATATCTCCTCTCAGCCTTCTCTTCTTCAGGCTAAACATGCCCAGTTCCTCAAGCCGCTCCTCATAGGGCTTGTTCTCCAGACCCTTGATCATTTTAGTCGCCCTCCTCTGGACACATTCCAGCTTGTCAATATCTCTCTTGAATTGTGGTGCCCAGAATTGGACACAATATTCCAGGTGTGGTATAACCAAAGCGGAATAGAGGGGTAGCATTACTTCCCTAGATCTAGACACTATGCTCCTATTGATGCAGGCCAAAATCCCATTGGCTTTTTTTGCCGCCACATCACATTGTTGGCTCATGTTTAACTTCTTGTCCACGAGGACTCCAAGATCTTTTTCACACGTACTGCTCTCGAGCCAGGCATCCCCCAATCAAACAAAACAAGGCGAACAATCAAAGCAAAAATTCAATGCGGCATCAACAAGTTACTTAAAAACAGTTAACACAGAAGCAAATTAAACAATTTAACAGTAATAAACATTCAAGTGGCGTCTCATAACTAGAATCATGATCCAAACTCGTCAGTCATAGTTCCATTTCCTGAAATTCATTGCACTGCCTATTCAAACGCCTGTTCAAATAACCAGATTTTCACTTTTCTCCGGAATACCATCAATGAGGGAGCCAATCTAATGTCCGTGGGAAGGGCGTTCCACAGCCGAGGGGCCACCACCGAGAAGGCCCTGTCTCTCGTCCCCGCCAGCCGTGCCTGTGTTGCAGGCGGGATCGAGAGCAGGGCCTCCCCGGAAGATCTCAAAGTCCTAGTGGGTTCGTAGGTGGAGATGCGATCGGATAGGTAACTTGGGCCAGAACCGTTTAGGGCTTTATAGGCCAAAGCCAGCACTTTGAATTGGGCCCGGTAGCAAATTGGTAGCCAATGGAGCTGGCGCAACAGAGGGGTTGTATGCTCCCTGTGTGCCGCCCCTGTTAGTATCATGGCTGCCACACGCTGGACCAATTGAAGCTTCCGAGCCGTCTTCAATGGCAACCCCACGTAGAGAGCGTTGCAGTAGTCTAAACGGGATGTAACAAGAGCGTGGACTACCGTGGCCAAGTCAGACTTCCCAACTTGGGCCCTCCAGGTGTTTTGGAATCCAACTCTCACCATTCCTAAAAGCCTCAGGCCCTATCCTGGGGGTCTGAGGAAGGAAGGGGTCTGAGCCTGTTAAGAGTTGTGAGAATTGGAGTCCAAGTTGGCCCATGCCTGTTCTAGTCTATGTGGAATAATTTCTCTCTCTCTCTCTCTCTAGCTTATATATATATATATATATATATATATATATATATATATATATAGATATAGATATAGATATAGATATAGATATAGATATAGATAGTATATTCTGTGTGTATCAGCTGCAGTGTGTAAGTGTGGTCTGAGTTAATTAATGTGGATTTTTTTTTGTGTGTCAGGAGCAACTTGAGAAACTGCAAGTCAATTCTGGTGTGAGAGAATTGGCTGTCTGCAAGGACGTTGCCCAGGGGACGCCCAGATGATTGGATGTTTTATCATCCTTGTGGGAGACTTCTCTCATGTCCCCAAATGAGGAGCTGGAGCTGATAGAGGGAGCTCATCCGCCTCTCCCTGGATTCGAACCTGCGACCTGTCGGTCTTCAGTCCTGCTGGCACAGGGGTTTAACCCATTGCGCCACCGGGGGCTCCTAGTAACCAACATAATGTAACAATTGAATATATATATATATATATATATATATATATATATATATATATATATATAAATCATTTTATGTACATGCAGCCCATTCACTGTTATTATGTTTGGTTTACTGTGGGTTTTTAAAATGTTTTTTGTAAATTGTTTATTGTATTCTTATGTTTTGTACTTTATTGCGATTTTGTTATTTTGTTGTAACTTGTATTTTATTTTATTGTAATTTGTTGTTTGGGCTTGGCCTCATGTAAGCCGCACCAAGTCCCCGTTGGGGGAGATGGTGACAGGGTATAAATAAAGTTGTTTATTATTATTATTATTATTATTATTATTATTATTATTATTATTATTATATACATATACATATGTATATGCATATGCATATCAGCTGCAGTGTGTAAGTGTGTCGTGCAAACATAGCAAGAAACCTCTAGTCTATGTGGAATAAGCTATATATATAGTTTATTCCTTTCTCATATATATATATATATATATATATATATTCCTTTTTCATATATACATATTATATGTATATGCATATCAGCTGTAGTGTGTAAGTGTGTTGTACAAACATAGCAAGAAACCTCTAGTCTGTGTGGAATAAGCTATATATATAGCTTATTCCTTTCTCATATATATATTCCTTTCTCATATATACATATACACGTATGTCTGTTAAAAGGAGCAGTGGGTTCAAATTACAGGAAAGGAGATTCCACCTGAACATTAGGAAGAACTTCCTGACTGTGAGAGCTGTTCAGCAGTGGAACTCTCTGCCCTGGAGTGTGGTAGAGGTTCCTTCTTTGGAGGCTTTTAAACAGAGGCTGGGTGGCCATCTGTTGGGGGTGCTTTGACTGCAATTTTCCTGCTTCTTGGTGGGGGGTTGGACTGGATGGTCCACGAGGTCTCTTCCAACTCTGTGATTCTATGATTCTATATTACCTCTTTGGAATACAACTGCCAGCAATCCTAGCCACCGTGACCTCTGGTAGTTCTCTAGCCTTTCTCCTTTGTTGATCCATCTGGTGGGAGCAAAGAATGGGGCTCTGCATGGCTGTTCGCAAGCATTTGAAGTCCCTTTCTGGTTTTTTTCTATATTTCTATTGTGGTATATAAGAAAAACAACAACATACAATCTTCAACACTCAAAATACAATTATTATTTCCCCTGTCCCGCCACCTCCATTCCCACCCGTGAATCACCAACCATGACTTCTGACACTACACCAAATGGAACTAGTATCTAACAAAAATCTGTCCTTACCCTTATGCTAATTCATCCCCTGTTCAGCTATTTCAAAATCTAGTTTTCTCTTCTTTTTTAAATACCCAAAGGCCAGTCTCCATTTTATAGCAAATGCATCTTTGTTTTCTCCCCTTATGCCACTAGAAATCTTGACCATTTGGATATATTCCACTACTTTTCTTCTCCAATCCTTAGTAAGTAGTTATTTTCCCTTTTTTCAAGATTTTACTATAATGATTCTTGCTGCCACATAGCTATATTGGCATATTTCTACATCGTCTTTGCCAATTCTCTCCTGAAACAAACCCAAAAAGCACATTTCTGGGTTTTTCTTGATCTTCTTAGTAATCATTTGATTAAGTAAAAAGGTTTTTTCAGAACCTTTTTACCACCATACAATTATTATTATTATTATTATTATTATTATTATTATTATTATTATAATAATAATAATAATAATATTATTATTATTATTATTATTATTATTATTATTATTATTATTATTATTATTATTTGAAGCACAACAAGATGAGTCCACAGCAAACAGGATCACTCTGCCGGATATTGTATTGGATCACATGTCGGACATGTTCCAAGTGTCTAGGACTGTGTGATGTATTGGCGAATAATGCGTGCAGATCCCAGTAAGGTGGCCTTTTGCAGCTGGCAGATGGTAATCTTGTCAGTGCCAATTGTGTTTAAGTGCAGGCCAAGGTCTTTAGGCACTGCACCCAGTGTGCCAATCACTACTGGGACCACCTTGACTGGCTTGTGCCAGAGTCTTTGCAGTTTGATCTTTAAATCCTTGTATTGTGTCAGCTTTTCCATTTGTCTCTCTTCAATCCTGCTGTCACCTGGGATTGCAACATCAACGATACACACTTTGTTTTTTAGCACAATTGTGAGGCCAGGAGTATTGTGCTCCAAAATTCTGTCAGTCTGAATTCAGTAGTTTGATGTGTTCATTTTCTGTAACCTTTTCAGACTTGTGATCCCACCAGTTCTTTGTCACAGGCAATTCTTCTTCTTCCTCCTCCTCCCCCCCCCCCCCTCCTCTCCTCCTCCTCCTTCTTCTTCTTGGCCACGGTAGTCCACGCTCTGGTTACATCCCGTTTAGACTACTGCAACGCTCTCTACGTGGGGTTGCCCTTGAAGACAGCCCGGAAGATGGTAGATGGTAATCTTGTCAGCGCCAATTGTGTTAAATAATTTTAATATTTTTAAATAATAAAAATTGGTCCAACGTGCGGCAGCCATGTTACTAACAGGAGCGGGACGCAGGGAGCATACAACGCCCTTGTTGTACCAGCTCCACTGGCTGCCGATTTGCTACCGGGCTCAATTCAAGGTGCTGGCGTTGGCCTATAAAGCCCTAAACGGTTCCGGCCCAAGATACCTATCTGACCGCATCTCGGCCTACGAGCCCACGAGGACTTTGAGATCGTCCGGGGAGGCCCTGCTC